GGAGCTCCTGATAGCAGATCATCGACATACATGTCTCGTTTAATAATTCGAGCTATTTCAGGATCAGAGCACTCATTTGCTAACTCAAAAAGGCACCTTATTGCCAAGAAACTACTAGCAGTCTGCCCATAAGTAACAGTGTTAGGAACATATGGCTTTAAATCTTCATTTGAATTTTCTCGCCAAAATATTTTTTGTAGTTGTCGCTGCTCTGGAGCAATAAGCACTGCCCTATACATTTTGGCAACATCAGATGAAAATACATAAGCATGACAGCGAAATCGTAAGACGATACCTAGTAAATCGTCTTGTAAAACTGGACCTTTATGCTGAATGTTATTTAGGGATAAACCATTGCTGGTCGATGCTGAACAATTAAACACTACTCGTAATTTAGTTGTGACGCTTTCTTCTCGCAAGACGCAAAATATTCAACTACTGGTTCAGGATATCTGTTATCTACAGACATATGTCCTAAGTCCTGATACTCGCGCATGAATTTAACATATAAATCACGTAAATACTCGTTCTTGCTTAAGCCACGTTCTAATGAATAGAAAGATTTTTCTGCATTCGACCTGGATTGACCTAGACATTCAGGAGATTCCTTTAATGGCATAGTTACTATGAAACGACCTTCTTGATCTCGAGTGGTTGTTTTGGTGAAATTCTCCTCACAAAAATTTCTTCTTTAGAGTGCGGCTTGGTTACATTGACTTCCTCAAGCTCCCAAAACTTAGACAAAATATCATTCAAATTGACCGACTCTAAAGTACTTAAATGGCAAAAAGATTGTTTTTTATTTTTATGGTTTAACATTCAGGGATTAAACGAACTTACCTGAGTGATGTTTAATCCTAATTATATGAAGGCTTCGTCGAAAATAAACAAGAATAGTTGTAGTATCTCCTTTTCCGCCGGCGGGCACGAATTTCAAAGGTCCAAAGGTCAAAATTCCCCGTTGTCGCCTGTCTCCACTCTACCTTCCCACCTCTCTTCAGTCTTTTGAAAGCAATTTTTTGTTGTAGCTCAATTGGGAGAAAACATAAGTATTTTCATCAGTTATTTTTCTTGGGTTGGGTGGGACTTGTTTATTTTCGACGAAGCCTTCATATAATTAGGATTAAACATCACTCAGGTAAGTTCGTTTAATCCCTGAATTATATTTCAGCTTCGTCTCAATAAACAAGAATAGTTGTAGATGTTCAGAGCAAAGTTACAACAACAAAAACGAATACACTTACTAAACTCTGTTTATTTGGAAAATAACGAAAAATAAATAAATAAATAATGATTCTGATTAACATTTACTTATACACTCCTAAATACACCCTGAGCGAAGTTGTTTTCACAACCAAAGAAACAGATACACTCACTAAGTTGTGTTTATTTAGGAAAAAACGAAAAATAAATAAATAAATAATGATTCTGATTGTAATTAACATTTACTTAGCTCCTAAATACACCCTGAGCGAAGTTGTTTTCACAACAAAAGAAACGGATACGCTCACTGAAATGTGTTTGTTTAAGGAAACAAAAATATAAGTTCTGATTATAATTAACATTTACTCATTAACTCCTAAATACGCCCTGAGCGAAGTTGTTTTCAGACGTCAAGGGCCTATTATAAAACAAAGCAAAGGTCTTTGACTTCTGAGTCCAACCTGCAGCACGCCTAATAGTATCAATGGATACCCCTTTTCTTGCTGCTGCAGAAGATGAAGCATGTCTTGTACTATAGGCTGAGAATTTTGATGTATCTAGGCCCGATTTTTTGAGAATGGATTTTATCCATCTGGAGAGAGTTTGAGTAGACGCTTTTTTATATGGTTTATTGGTTGTTATGAAGAGTTCATCCAATGAGCCTCGTCTATCCTTGGTACGCTCAATGTAAGTTTCCAATGCTCTACAAATGCAAATGTCCGGATTGTCTTCAAAAAATGGCAAAATTAAAGTTGGCTGTAGTTTATTGCGGCCCGAAGTTTTAATACGCCGAGAAATCCTAATTTCTATCGTTTTGTCCATCCGAACTATATTAGAACATTCAATAAGCGACAAAGTCTGAGTCCGTTGACCAGTTCCTAGAACAATTAATACTGCCAATTTACAAGTTAATTCGTCTATAGCACAAGTCTCATTGGATATATTCTTCACATAGTTTAGTACTATCAGAGGGTCCCAAGTGTCCGAATATTTTGGCAAAGGCGGCCTTAAGCTATGGACTCCCTTAAAAAAACGTTTAATCCTAAAATCTTGTCCTAGTTCTGGACCAGTGATCTGAGCAATAGCACATTTATAAGTATTTAAGGAGTTATATGAGGCGCCTCTGTTAAAATGCCATCCCAGGAAGTCTAAAACAACTTCGACTCTAGGAGAAAAAATATTCAGTTGATTAGACATACAATAGTCCCACCATAACCTTAAACCTGATGTGTACTGGCGCAGGGTACCCTCAGTGATGGATGCCATACACACATCTAGACACTGCTGGGGAAGTTTCCCGTGCTTCAATGCTTGCAGGATAAGATCCCTGCCACCAGGGAAAGGTTCTTCCAAAGGTGATGTGGGGTTCTATTAAAACAAAATAAATCTTTTTCAGGTTTAAAAATAATAGGACGACCTTCTAACAAAGAAGTATAAACGGGGTACCAGGGCTGAGAGGTCCAATATGGAACTACCACTATACCTCGCGCCCCTTCTTCTATAATATTTTTAAGTACTCTAAGTATTACGGAAAATGGGGGAAAACCATAAAAATAAAAGCTATCCCATTTAACCGTAAATGCATCTACTGCAACGCTTTCGGGATCTCTCAGCCAAGATATGTATTTCTTGCATTTTTTATTAATTCTTGAAGCAAAAATATCAATGTCTGGGAAACCAAATTGACTGATAATTCTTAGAAAAGCTTTTTCTGACAATTCCCATTCTGTATCAATTTCAAGATTGCGAGACTCCCTATCCGCTATAATGTTATTGCTTGACTTAATGTAAGTAGCGAAAATAAACAGATTGCGTTCTTCGCAAAAATTCCAAATTGTTCTCGCGAGCCTGTTTAACATAGGGTGCTGTATACTTCCCATTCTATTGATGTACGAAATAGCTGTGGTATTGTCTATTCTACAGAGAATACTACAATTACGCAGGTCAGAAGCAAAACATTTAATTCCGAAAAAAGCAGCTAGTAATTCTAAGTAATTAATATGTAGCTGTTTTTCCCCCTCAGACCAAAAACCATGCGATTTATCATCACCACAGTAAAGTCCCCAACCTGTACCTGAAGCATCTGAAAATATTTCAACCTCATAATTATCAATTCTGATGAAATTTAATGCAGTTGGTATGTTTTTAATCCACCAATTAAAATCTTCTCCTAAACTGTTGGGGATATCCATAATCTTGTTATACTGACCCCTTGCTTTTTTAAGAGCAAAAAACTTGACTCGCTCGAACAATTTAGTATATAAGTATCCATATTTTATGGCCGGACAAATAGAAATCAAACTTCCAATAAGTCGGGCAAAGTCTCTGATTTTACAACTTTTGACACATGAAAACTTTTTAACAAGAACTAACATTTTTGCCTTCTTTTCGTCAGGAATAGAAATTGTCATTAGACTTGAATCATATAAAAAACCTAAGTAAGTTATTTTTAAACTAGGTATAAGGTTGCTCTTAGCAAAATTTATTACAAACCCGAGAGATTGTAATATTTCTATAGTAACTCTCGTGTTATCTAAACAATCTGTGGCTGATTTTCCTAATAAAAGGAAATCGTCCAAGTATACGCTAGAAATATATCCCCTAGATCTCAAAAAAGACAGAATTGGCTTCAATAACTTTGTAAAGATAAGAGGTGCACAATTCAGCCCGAAAGGCATGGCATTATACTCAAATAAGTTCCCAAGAAATTGGAATCGCAAATATTTCCTGTATCTTTTTGCTACAGGTAGAAGTAAGTAGGCGTCCTTCAGGTCAAGAGTGGTCATAAACCAACCCTGTCTTATTAGTTTAATTACGGTTTTTTGGTCCTCTAATTTAAAGTGAGATGTTAACACAAATTTGTTTAATGATTTTAGATTTAAAATAAATCTATGAGAACCATCTGTTTTTGGTGTAGTAAACACACTTGAAATGTATTGCCCCTCACACGGGACAACCCTGGAAACTGCACCACTCACAATTAGTGCTTCCACACAATTGAATAAAATTTTCCCTTCCTTTTTTGACCAATTCGGTTCTCTAGGGATATATTTCTGAATGGGTTCTCGTATAAAAGGTAGTTTTATACCTCTAACCCAGGTTAGAATGTTTCTGTCTGACGTATATTGGAGCCAGATATTGTAAAAATGTTTTTTCTACAAACGTGTTAAAAATGCAATTTTTGACACCCCCCCGAAGCATTAAAAATGTTACTTTATCGCACTAGTGCCATAAAGTCTTTATAGCACTAGTGTTAAAAATGAAACATCAAATTTTGAGAGCGAACGTCAAAAAAAGTTTGTATTTTTAGTTATTTACATTGATATGAATGGTGAAATTTGAACAACTGAGGTAGCCCGATTGGCCGCCTCATCTATATTTTTCAAGGGATCGATGCAACCCTCTTTTTCTTCTGTATTTTGTTGCATTTTAAGCAAAAAGCATTACTAACCACGACAGTCTTTCAAGAAACTGACAAGACATTTCATTACCTGTAAAACAAGGTGCTGGTTGTTTGAACTTTTTGACAAATGTCAAATTCAATAATTTTATGTAGGAAAGATGCTTCCAATTTATTATTCATTTAAAAATCCAATGTGTTACTGGTGTTTGCTTTTTATTGCCGTTTGTAGAAAAAAATATTGTATGATATTTGTGTTTAAAGTATTTTTAAGGCACTTATGTGAATTGCAGAATTCGCTTCGCTCATTCTGCAAACTTTCACATGCGTGCCTTAAAAATGTACTTTTAACACTTATATCATAAATAACTATTAGACGCCCTGCTGGTTTACTAACCTGCACTGGAACATAAGCCTCCATATTTGGCTCTATCGGGGAGATTTGCTCCTCCGCTGTTTTCCTTTCTCTCCCTTGGAGTTTCTTGGTTTCCACTGCGTTTTTCCCTGGTGTTGTGATCGGCGTGATTTTTGATTGTAATGGGCCTGTTGCTGACGATAAGTTTGTTGTCTGCCCTGGCGATAGCCCTGTCCCTGCCTGGGCAGACTCTTGTAGTTTAAATTCCGGATACTAGTTGTTTTCTTAGTTGTTATGGTCGTCTTATTTGATGGCTTCAAAACCTGGCTAAATTTTTTCAAATTTTTAGCAGCAGTCACCCTATCATCAAGCTTGTCCCCAAATAAGTGGGTTGTAGCTGGGGCAGCACTCAACGTTTCTTTGATTTGTGAGTCAAGATTTAGCTGAATTAATTCTCGGCGAGCCTTTGTCTCGGAGTAATGCAAATCAGCCATAAGCCTACCAGCATCACTCAGCAACTCGAGGTATTGTATTTTCCCTCCCCCCTCTTCCTGTAGCAGGTTGGTTATAGCTGTTCCAATTGCTGCTAAAACTGCGTCCATCTGCTTTTGGAGCAATGTCAACCTTTCATCCCTCTTTTGAACAGAGCTATTAATAGCATTCACAATTTCCTGGTTTAAGATAGGGGGAGAGAGCACTTGAAAATTCTCTGGAGGGGGGTATTTTTCTATCAGAGATTTTTTAGTGTCAGCAGATAGTCCATTTTCTATAATGTTCTCCCATCGAGATTTGAGATCGGTATGCACTGGTGGCCCAAAAACACTATTCGAGTTAGTCACTTCTCCCAACAGTGCTAAAATATCTTCACTGACTGGAACCTGGGTCCCCACTAACGTGGGGGGTGTGTTTTCCTCATCCTCAGGAATCAAAGCATTTTCTGATTCACCATCTATAAAAGAGATGAAAGATTCAGAAAACTGTTCCCAGACTAGGCGCATAATTTTTCTCATACGAAAAAATTCCAGAAAGAAAAAATGTCAGTTTCCATATATAAATTTTTCTCATACGAAAAGTTTAGGAAAAATAATTTTTCTCAAACGAAAAAATCTTTGGGAAATAAATTTTTCTCATACGAAAAATTTTTTTGGGAAATAATTTTTCTCATACGAAAAAATTCCCACTTGAAAAGATTCTAAAAACAAATTTTTCTCATACGAAAAATTTATTGGGAAATAATTTTTCTCATACGAAAAATTCCCACATGAAAAGATTCTAAAAATACATTTTTCTCAAAAAAATTTTTAGAAAATAATTTTTCATGGTTATCAGAACGAATTCTTTTCAGGCGAAGAGTTCTTAAGTAATTATTTTTTCAAAAACAAAACAGAGCCTTCTAAAAAATCGTTATTTCTAATACGAAAGCAAACAAATCTTTCTTATATGAATTTTTCGTTTTTAATTGAGATAGGCTTCTAAGCAATATCTCAACCTGTTTGGAAAAAATAAATAATTAATATTCTAAAGCTACCTGAAATGACAGACTCCTCCTCTTCATAAACTTCTGACGGAGACCTACTAGGCCTGGGCTGGCTCAAACCAGAGGGCCCCGCGACTGGCGACGGTAGCCGATTACAATCGTGGCAACGCTGTCCTTCCACGCTATGATGTTCCTTGTTCTCGAGCGATTCTAATCTTTTCTGAAGTAAGGCTAATTGCTTTTGTAGTATTAATTTCCCTTCACTAGGGCTCCGATAGCGACTCTTTTTATGCGAACGAGATTTAGATCGACCGCGGCTACGATCGCGTTTGTGATGTTTAGGCATTTTACCTCAAACCGCTACGCAAAACCAGAAATTAAAAAATTACTGCAGTATGCACCCGTCGGCACGAAAAAGAAGACTGAAGAGAGGTGGGAAGGTAGAGTGGAGACAGGCGACAATGGGGAATTTTGACCTTTGGACCTTTGAAATTCGTGCCCGCCGGCGGAAAAGGAGATACTACAACTATTCTTGTTTATTGAGACGAAGCTGAAATATAATAGATATGCAGAAAATAAATGATTCCTAACCTTTGAAGTCTGCAATTTTAGACTTTGTTGTCTTGTTGGCCATGGACAATTTTATAGCTGCCAGAAGACTTGTTGAACTGCTGGTTGTCCAATTTTTTAGTATTGATTCCATTTCGGCCTCAGATTGCCCCCAAACCACCCTAAACCATACATTCTCAGAAGAATTGTGTTTGCACAGGCGTCTAGGAAAAATTTTTATATTTTGTTTGATATAATTTATCAGTTGTTGACGAAAAGCTGGGTTCTCGAGCTTCGCCGAACTTATTTTAGTTGCTGACAATACCCACGATCCCATTGCTGACGGAGGCGTCAAAATAATGTCGGCAACGTCGCTTGGAGTTATAAAACCCGATTTGCTAAGACGGGTTTTTCCGATGTCCAACCGCTGTAATGAGATGAAATTGTCGGGTAATGGACGATTTCCGAATTGCGAACACCAATCGCGTCCTATATGGGCAAGAGCCGTTGCCCAATAAATGATTACCAGGGAGTCCTCATTTGGAGTGATTGGATCAGAACTGAGGAATTTTTCCACCCTTTTTTCCGCTATTCGTATGGCATTACCGACAATCCCGATTTGGCGCTCGAAAAGGTGCATCACCATTGGTGACAGTTTTGGGAGTTGCTTGTTTTGGTCCTCGTATTCCCGTAGAAACAATTCCGTTTCTTTTATTGCCTGAACATGTTCTACCTTCCTCTTGTTCCTTCTAGCAGGTTCTCTCATTGATCGAACCAAGTCAGTGTCAAATTTTTTTCCTTTCAGGTAAGTCCCCTCCAGAAAGAATGCCATGCGGTTGGCAGCGACGTACGCTTTCACAATATCTTTTTGACACATAAGTGATGGACCGATTCCAACGTTCATCGGTAATCTTGTTGGCAAGAGGAACTCGGGCAACACCTTTTTCGGGCGTGTTTTTTTGGTGACTGAAAAACGTCTGGTCTGCTTCCAGCTCAGCCGCTTTTTCGTCATCGTCACTTTCGCTACTCTCGCTTATGCCATTTTCGTTATTGTCTTCTTCCTCATCATGGTTTTCGTTCTCTTCGAAAGTCGGTTTTTGGTCGCATGATTTTCGCAGCCAATGCCTCCAAGGAATGTTTGATGCAGACTTTTCAATCGAACTTCTCAGATCGTTTCGAACAAGCTCGTCTTCTTGACGCATAGATTCGATTGATAATTTTTGGAAGGACGTGGATGGTACTTCCGGCCACAACATTCTTGGCAGCTGGATTGTTTCGTCATAATTATTGAACAAACGCAGCGCCGAATCGACAATTTCACAATCGTTGAGGATGCCACAATCAACTAAATGCCTTCGCCAGTCCAAGCCCGAGATTTTCGTTAAAATGCCGGAATCAATCATTCTTTCAAGGATGGCCTCCCTCCGAACCTTAAAAGCGTCCTCATCGTGGTATGCCTCAATTAACTGTTGCAAATTATCGAAAGTTTCCACAGTTTCGATACGACAACGGTATCCAACTTCGTGGTATGAACGTATCGTCTGCGTCATTGCATTTAATTTCCGAGATGTCGCTTGCCTTATTTTGTCAAATCTTTTCATTTGACTCGTGAATTTATTCATTCCTCGACCCTGTAGAAAAGTAGCCACACAAACGTTAGCACTGGCTTTGAACCTGGAAATAAAGAAAGCACGAATTTTTATAAATGTCATTTTTTTTTAGTATACGATTTCAAAAATGGCTTTTTTACAGACTCATTTCAGTAGTTCAGTTATTATTCTCTTACCTATGAGCTGATGGCTCGTACGTTTGCATATATGTTGAATTCGGAAGTATTCCTTTGCAAGTTGTTGTGTTGCCGTAAGCATGGCCCACTAATTTAAGAAAAGCCGGACTAGTCGTAGCCAGGTTTGGCTTATTCAAAAAATTTTTTATGCCCGACATCCTTGTTAAAATTGCGCCTCCGTCTGTAGAAGAAACTACACTTGCGCAATGAACCTGCACGCCGACGATGGACTCTTCCTTTCCAACAGCTACAGTATCAGCCAGAATGCGCTCAATTTTCCTATAATCGGCTTCGACGAAGCCGTGACGCGCTACGTAATATAGAACTTCGCGCATTCTGTGGATTTTGTAGCCCTCTCTCGAATTCACGATCCGGTCAATCACTTCGGCCACTGCTGGCCAATCGTCCTGGTGAATACGGATCCTGCCATCGTTTCCAAAGTCCGCGTCGGTAGAGCCGTTCATTACCGTTTTGTCGCTTGCAAGAAGAACTTCTCCTATAGCTTTTTGAACAATTTTTACAAAAATTGCTCGAACGTGTCTAAGATTGATATAGGGTGTGTATCGGAAAATGCAATGAATATGTGAGCCGTAAACATATCCGATTTTGAACTCGAACCATTTACAACCAGTTTCTCCGAAAATCCCCTTGACCATTTTCATTTGCTGGGTCTTGCTCCATACGATCGGACATCAATCATTAAGTAGTGCAAAATCTTCAGAGCCGCTGCGTTTTTTAATAAAACAGTATACGAATCGACGTCATGCGAAACTTGTATGTCTGAAAGGGACTGAACGTCACAATAAGTTGGTCCGTTTTGCGCCCTTCTAGCGCTTTGTTTTTGCACCACCTTGTCGGCTACCGAACTCAAGTTTGGAAAAATTTCTTCCGCTCTGTGTTCGTCTCCTTTGGAAATGGTGAACCGCTGTAAATAATATGAATGAAATTCGTGAGCAACGATATATTGTAGCGTATAAACAATTATTGAAACAAAGAAACGATAAATAATAATAGGTAATTACAAGATGTTTGTCCTTGCAAGGCGAACGATTTCTTTGCCTAAGATTTAAATCTGTAGATTGTTTGAAGCAGGGCTCGTCCGTTCCGGGTGAGTATCTCACTGGTGGCAAATCAAAGGGTACGATGAGGGATGCCACGTCTTTGTTGAAAGTCTCTATCGAACCATTCAATGTTGCCAACGGAAATGCCGTGTTACCAGTCTGAAAACAATGATTGACCTTTCTAAATTGTCGACAATTAAGAATCATAAATAACGACGAAACGAAACGACGACGACGACGTACCACAAATGAGGGGAGAAGCAAAACCCCTGCTTCAAAATTTTTCACATAAAGTCCGCCTCTGCTGTTTAATTTACCCCACGCTGCTTGGCTAATGTTCCCACTTGTCAAAAGAAACCAAGACGCAATTGTGAAGGTGGGGTCTGTTCTTAAAAAACATTTGACGTGAGGAGCGATTTCGGCACCACCGGCGGCATTATTTCTCCAACGACTAAAAAAAAAATTATTGTTGAAAATATAAAAATTTATCGCTCAGATGTAGAGTAAGAGGTGGGACGACAATAACTATATTTTTATTGTCATAGAAAACGATTAATATAAAGACATACTGACCACAAATACTTTGAAATCCAATGTTGCCTTGCATGTGTTTCCGAGCTGTAACAGAGGCAATTATTCAAAGAACTGCCATTGCTCAAGTCCCGAACGCTTGGGTAAATGAGGAATATCGGGGTCTTGATTGTGTCAATGGCATCGTTGGTGTTCTCTGCGACAAAAACTGCTGATAATGCTCGAGTAAACTCGCCCGTCAACCAATTATTATCAGCATTGTCCCCAACGCTTCCAATTGAAGATGACTGCATTACGATGCAACATCGTCCCACGTCGTAATTTGGCAAACAAGCATGGTCTTCCAAAATTCGCCCCACTCTTTCATGACCCCAATAAACGTCTTCATCGTTGTCACAGGAGTGAACTCCAGGCACAGAACCGATAAAAAAGCAATTAATAGCGCTAAAGTCCATTCGTTTCAAGCGAGGAATTATCTGGTCCACCAACTCTGGTGCCATTTCGGAATACGCTCTCAAAAAACGAATAAAATCTGATTTGAAAAAAGTCGGGCATTCGCCATCTGTATACCCGGCGTCCTCTGGTAAAAGCTTCAGCCTCGGAGAAATCCATACCCTACAAATTTAGATTATAGCGTAAATAGTAATTGTTAATCTAAATTAAATAAATCAATAAGTGTTTCAAAATATATATATTATATATCGGGTGTTTTTCAAAACCTTGCTCACCCCCATAACTTTTTTATTGTAACAAATGTGGTGTGTTCATTAATGACCCGAATGTGCATTATTTGACGTATTGAAATATTTTTTTATCACTTCCGGTTTGACCGGAAGTGACCCTAACTTTCTTATTGTAAATGAGACACCATGTATATTTTCCTTTTTTCAATAGAAAGCTTCATTACGAGTACAATGACATCTCATTTGTCACTTTTTGACATTTGATCAAATCAAGAAATTTTCTAGCATTCTATGTATTTCAGGGAAATTTAGGGTCAATGTTTGGATAAACTAGCGATTGTGTGGTATTGAATTGTTCGTAAGAAAATGATCTTTCGGAATGTGCTAATGAGCCATACCCTTTCCATTTGAAAAAATTGATATAATTCAAAAAATAAGCTTCTACTCTTTTTGAATGACTCTGTAGAGGAAATAAAATACAAAATAAGATCAGAACTAATTTTCCCAGGCTCCCTGGAGCAATATCAAGCATTTTAACTAGTTCATGGTGCTCTAGAATATAAAGTAAAAATTATAATAATTTGGAGATAAAATGTCAAAAAGTGACAAATGAGGTGTCATTGTACTCGTAATGTAGTTTTCTATTGAAATAAGAGATAATATACATGGCGTCTCATTTACAATAAGAAAGTTAGGGTCACTTCCGGTGAGCGGGTTTTGAAAAACACCCGGTATGTAATCAAAAAAATATGAAAATTCACACTTGCCCGTTAACGTGTTGCGTCCAATCGTTGTCAGAAAGATTTGCAGACGTTATGATTAGCCGCATCGATCCATCTATATATTCCAGTATAGAAAATTTCGCATGATGAACCGTCGAAAATACATGATTCGAGAGCATGCGAGTGACTTTCACTTCTTTGTTATGGACATTGTTATCCAATTGTGAAACACAACTCCCAACTACATGCATCGTTGTGGATTGGCCACACTCCGCATATATTGATAATAGCCATTCGAGGTCTACTACATGGGAAACATGCACGCTTGAAGCAATAATGCCCAAGTCTCGATCAATGACGTCGGAGAATGTGCATGAAACATCGGATCCTGAAGAGGGTGTGTAAAAAATAAAAAAAGGATTCGATCGCGGATGTTTCTCAGCGAAATGGGAAGAACCTTCCATCTGAAAGAGAGCAATAAAATATAAGTGAAAACCAGAGAAGCCAATAAAACCAAATTTTCACCAGTTCTCGATAAGGACTACAAAACAAAAAGAAACTTGGTGCACAGTACACCCAACCTTGATGCTTTGTTTTCGAGATAATAAAAAAAAATCTAAAATTACTAGTAATGTCCAATGCACTTATTATATCATTATAGGCACAAAATTATCAATAGTAACGAGTGCAATGGAAATTATCGATACTTTTTGGGAAATTTGTCCGAATGCATTTTTAGTTGAAAAAGAGCACGAGTGCACGTAGTAGAACGCGCCCTATTTCCAAATTATGCAACAATAGAACAGCATACCGTAGACAATTATTATTGGTTGGCTAAACACGAAAATTTTCGAATCAAAACTGAACCCTAAAAACTTTACGAGTCATGCTTTCCGGCAAAAACGCCGTCTCGAAGATAAGTTTTATTTTACAAGATTTGAGGCATATTATTGGTAATTAATCAGTTGATCATTTACTATTGGTACTTACCATGAAAAATAACTCTATTCAGCGCACAGCACTTCAATCAGTCACAAAAACAATCTTGCAAAGTTGCACAAAATGAATTGAGGTTGGATGAATTGGTAACTCGAAAACGCCTAAAAAAATGTTGATTTAAAAATGCACAGATTTCGCAATCATTGCAACCATCGGAGACATTGGAAATGATAACACCATTATAGTATGAAACATAATTACCACACAATTTTGTATTTTGTTATATTTATTTACACCAGTGCCAGTGAGGTACAAAATACACAACTCGTGCTACGCACTCATTGTACAAGGTGGTCCAAATCGGACACTTTTTTATGGCAACACCCTTTATTTTTGGAGATAGAAAAAAATAGACCCCACACTCTGAGGCTCAAATTTCTTGAAATCTTGATTGGTGCAAACCGCAATTTTGATATCCAAGGCGATATTTTTTTTCTGCACAAAACCAACTGACTTGCTTGCTGGATACGCCCCTGGATATTCTGAATCAAATCTAATTTGGTATTCCAGTAGATGCCTGATAATAGCTTAAATGAACTGTGAAAAATCCATTGAAATTGGCTAAAGCGTCTTTGGGCATATATCGATTCCTGAAAAGTCGACCAAGCTAGGAAAATCGAAAAATGTCAACCATTTTGACATCTGTCAAAACCCTGCCAAACGGCAGTATTCATATTTTTCAGTTCTCAATATTTCATAATGTGTCATTTGACAGTTTCAACGTATATGAATTCTGAGTACAAAAATATTTTAAAAAAATTACAGAACTGTCAAAACCTGTCATTTGTTTTAGTAAAAAAAAAATATTTCAATTTGGCTCTTTTTCGTTTGAGGGTAGTTTATTGGTGATAAAACATTAAACAAAGCTCATAGACATCAAATTTTGACAGCTTTCAAAATCTGAGATTATAGCTTTAATTGAAAAAAAAACTGAACTCTAGTTCTGTTCCAATTGTTTACGCTATGCTTATTTATTATGAAGCATAAAAAAAATATTTTCAGATTTTGACAGCTGTCAAAAATTTGATATCGATGAGCTTTGCTTGATATTCTATTACCAATAATAAACTACCTTAAAACAAGAAAGAACCAGATGTAAATCTTTTTTTCTACTAGAATAAATGACAGGTTTTGGCAGTTCTGTATTTTTTTTTCCAATTTTTAACTCGGAATTTACATAAGCTAAAACTGTCAAATAATGACACATCATGAAATATTGAGAACTGAAAAATATGAGTGCTGTCGTTTGGAAGGGTTTTGACAGATTTGAAAATGGTTGACATTTTTCAATTTACCTTGGTCGACTTAGTAGGAATCGATATTTGCTTCATCAAAATCTGCGATAATTACCCTGCTTTTGAATATTAAATTCCAATATTTGACAGCCGATACCGCCTCACCTGTCATATATACAAAGTTGCGCCCGTGGTAAAAAATGTTGCTTACGGCATTTCTAATAACATATTTAAATTTTATCCAAATATCACGGGTAACCAATTTCCGTTTAAATATTGCGGGGTCCTTTAAAATTATTTCCAAGACATGTAATCCTCATATTTTTATATTGAAATCGGTCCAAAAAGGCTAACTTTAACGTTAGGAATGCAGCTTATAAGAAGCTACGTGTTGCACTAAAGCGTTTTACCACCAAAAGTGCTTTGAGAAAGTTTTTACGGAAATCAATTATTCTCATAAACAAAAAAAATTATTAAGGTTTCACATTCACAGTATTGCTGAAAATCGAGAAATCCAATCCAAATGCATCAAATCATATAATAATAATAATTAATAATTATTGGGTACTTACCACAGAAAATAGCTCTATCAAAACACTTTATTCAATCAAAAAAACAATCATGCATAGTTGCACAAAGTAAATTGAGATTGGATAAACTGGAAATTCAACAATGCCTGACAAAAATGTTGATGAAAAAACCTGCAATCTAGGTACTAATTATGACACAAATGAAATTAGTAGCAAAAATAATTATGATATAAACAAATGGTTGCTAACAACCGTTTGTTTGTTTGTATCAAAAATTAGCATGACAACGTGTTCTGTTATGACAACCATAAATACGAAAACATAGAAAAAGGATTGCTGTAATTCTTTTAAGTTAAACAATGGAAAAATAATTTATTTGTCACTCATTTGTGAAACGTCATTTATCAAGTCAAAACATAAACAACGAAAATTGATTTTCACCAGTTATTGGCTCTACTAACTTGTAAAATTGACAGCTAAACTGTAATAGTATATTACAATCCGAGACGGAAAATACTTCATTGCTGGTCGAGAGGTTATTATAGTTTATCGAGACGCGAAGCGTCGAGATAAACTCAACCTCGAGACAGAAATGAAGTTTTCCGTCGAGGTTTGTATACTTTTTTATTTTCAACCCTTAATTTTCTGATGCAAAAACTAAAGATTCTGTTATACGAAATTTTCATATAGTGTAAAACTGGCCTTAGAAAAAAATATTTCACTTTTTTTGTCAATGTCATCAATTTTGACGATCTCAAAGGCCCTGTAAAGGCCAAAACAAAAGACGAAACCACAGGAAACCGCAAAATCAACAACCATAGATAAGATCAACAACGCCTTAACGACGGTAGTTTTCGCTCAGTATTTTTGCGGAAATAATAGATTTTCACTAGATTTCTCCCCGTTCTCCCCAAAGAAATGATTTCGGAAAGTGAAGATGAAGCGATGGATTGTACCCCACCTGAATTAAAAGAAGCAGCAGACAGGATTGGAGAGAGTTTGCTTCCAGCAAAAAGCAAATTTCGGTACGAAAAGGCTTTTCAAATATTCGAAGCATGGTGTAGCCAGAAAGGAACGAGAAATACTGCCTCGGAGACCGTTTTGTTGGCGTATTTTGGCGAATTATCTAAGGAAAAGAAGCCTTCGACTTTATGGTCGACTTACAGTATGTTGAAAACCATGATTAAATTGAAAGAGAAAGTTGATATCTCCAATTACGCAAAACTTATAGCTTTTTTGAAGCGGCAAAATCTGGGCTTTCAGCCGAAAAAGTCGAGCGTTTTTTCCAGAGAAAACATTAACGAGTTCCTCACGAAGGCAGCTGAAGAATTCATTAGCATCAAGGTAGGTTTTCAAAAAATATACAAAGAAGATAAAAATGCGAAAATCAAAATGATTTTCTGTATGCTATAGCTAGGTTACCCATTTTATTTTTATCTGGTTTCAGGTAGCGCTAATTGTTGGTGTGTCGGGTGCATGTAGGAGCGATGAACTAGTCAAGATGAAAATGGAGCACGTCAACGTTTTGGAAGGAAAGATCGCTATAGAAATTCCACACACAAAAACTTACACAAGTCGATCGTTTATCATAAGCGATCCAGATTGGGTTGCTATTTTCCACAAATACCTCACTTTGCGGAAAAATTTGAAAAATGACAGGTTATTTGTTCAATGGCGAAATGGGAAATTACATAACCAAGCAATTGGCTATCATTCAATCTCAAAATTTCCACATAAAATAGCTGCTTTTTTGAAGCTTCCAAAAATTGAAACTTTTACAGGGCATGCTTTTCGTCGTACTTCCGCAACCTTATTGGTTGACAACGGGGCCGATCTATTGCAACTCAAAAGACTGGGAGGGTGGAAATCGAGCACGGTTGCTGAAGGCTACATAGAGGCATCTTTGGAGAACAAAAGTAAGACTGCTCTGATGCTATCCTCTACTTCCAAAGGTATTCAGTTGTCCAGTGCATCCACAAGTACATCACATGCGGAAACTCATCCGCAAGCGCAAGAGATAATAGTTCCAAACGAAACACAATTCCAACAGGATGGTCTCAAGATTTCCATTATAAACAACAATGCTAATTTAACAATTAATGTAAATAAGTGAATAGATTTAATTAGTTCCATGTAATACATGTGGTTTTATTATTATATGTGAGAGCTGTATGAAAATTATCAATTTGGAACGAGCAGGGAAATGGGGACGGAAAAGCATTTGCCGTCCCGGACGGAAAATGCTTTTCCGTCCTAGGCAGGCATATGCATTACCGTCCCGATAAATGTCAAAGTCCAGAAATGTGACACTTTCAAGATTTTGAAAAACCTGCAATGTCAACATTACATATGTGGTTGAAAATAAAAACTTTTTACAACTCAGTAGGGTCAGTAGAAATATCTATTGAAATTGTATTAACTAAGTATTAATTTTTTGTTTATTGTTTACAAATGAGTAACAAATAAATTATTGTACATCATACGCCAGATCTCAGTTTTTACTGGTTCTAGAAGGGGACAAGCTCGCCTGACGGCTCGCTAGTCATTTCCTTCAATCACCAGTAAAAACTGTTTTACCTGGCTAATAATGTAAAATACTATTTTCGCTGTAATTTAAAAAATCATAATAATAATTATCCATTAGGTACTTACCACAGAAAATAGTTCTGTCAAAACACTTTAATCAGTCACAAAAAACAATCTTGCATAGTTGCACAGAAATTGAGATCAGATAAACTGAAAACTCAACAATGCCTGAAAGAAATGTTGTTGAAAAAACCTGCAATCCAGGTAGGTACTAATTATGGCACAAATGAAATTAGTAGCAAAAATAATTATGATATAAACAAATGGTTGCTAACAACCGTTTGTTTGTTTGTATCAAAAAGTAGCATGACAACGTGTTCTGTTATGACAACCATGAATACGATAACATGGGAAAAGGATTGCTGTAATTCTTTCAAGTTAAATAATGAAAAAAGAATTTTTCGCTGTAATTTTGAAAGTCATAATAATAATTAACCATTGGGTTCGCCGAAATTTGTCAGATAAGCTTTTTAGACGTAAAAAAGCTTAAGGTTTAAAGTCAACCCCTATTTTCTAAACCTTGTGTTCAAAAATTCCAAAAAAAATTTATGTTTTATGGTTATCGATATACTTAAATACATAATTTTTTAAAGCAAATTTGACACGCCATTTTTGAGTTATATCGCAAAAACTGAAAAAAAAGTAGTTTTTCACCATTTATTTCAAAACGAATAAATGAAGTTTCCCATTATTTTTATCACGAACTACTATTGCAATTCTACGCGACATATATTTTTTCAAATTTTTTGAACTTGTAGTTTTCTCGCTACTACAAAAATGGTTGGAAATACGCCCGTAACTACACTGTTTAGAAAAAAATCCGACAGATGAAC